GTGATATGTTGCAGCTAGATTGGTTCGAAAGGTTGTCATGTTTATTAGGGATGGTGGGGGCAGTTGGATCAATCTCCCCAATAAAGAATTTCTTCATCAGCTCTTTTGCGCTTTCGCTATGCCCGGCATCTTCGAAGTCATTGGTAGCATCTTTTCCTTCAAGCAAATTGAAGCCCAAGTCAAACATAGAAGATATATTCCATTATATTCCATCTCAGTTTTTTTTGCATTTAAATGGCATTTTGTTGTTCTGGTTAACAGTATATGAGGCCTTATGCAGTTAAGCTCATTATTCCCTTTCATATACGGAGTACAAGAGTTTACAGGGACGAGGCATGAAGTTTTGAAACAATGAAACCAAATAGGACTTACCAGCGGCAGCTGTTAATACATCATCTCCACCTGGATGTTCATCCATATACGATGAGACGTCATAAACCTGAACATTTAGAATAAGTCAGTTCTTTCAAAGTTTCAGAAAAAGGCAGAGTTGATATCAATCAAATGTTGCCTCAAGGAGACAATAGTTTCTTCAAATTCCCAGAAAATCCAAAGTGCGTCGGTTTTTTTTAAACTGAACACTCATTCATGTAGGGGCAGAACAGTCCATGACTTGGGAATTGGCATTAAGTCATTAACACCATAGACTGAGACTTCTTCCATCAAAGGTAAGATTGAAATCTTATATCCGTGAAATACCAACACTCTGGCTGAAAATGGTTGTACGGTTATACCCAAGGTATTAAAAGCCAGAGTGGTTATGGAGCTATTCAAGGTACTGGTCAATTGTTCACTAGTCAAAATAGACCAGCATTAAACTGGTTGAGACAGTTATAAATGAAATAAGAGGGAGTATAATATTATACTAATATATGAGATAATATTAGTACATAACACTCAAAATGATGGAGATGAAGCACATATGTAAAAAGAACCAGTTTAATAGTCATAGTTCAATATTTTAAAAAATACTCGCTGCGTCCCAAAATAATTTTCATGGTTGATTTAACGAACTTTAAAAAGTGTTGAAAAGTGAAGTGTATGATTGGAATTTGTTTAAAAGACAAATGATGAGAGCCACAAGGTAAAATGCTAAGCTTATTTTGGGACGGGTGGAGTATATTATTGGCACAGCAGTTCAAATGCAAAATTTTGCCTGCATTATATCCTCATGGCGGGACCTTTTCCAGAAGTCCATAAGCTAGGACACTTTGTGAGGGATGCCCGATTGGTCTAGCACTCTAACTTTTAATCCCCAAAAAAATATCTAATTCTATGGATAATAATACAAAAGTAATGAAGAATTGAACTCTTCAAATATTTGAGCACGCATTTCACAGATGAAAAAGGATCTTTCATCGTTGCATAGAAACCCTATCACAAGATCTAAGATCATTGAAGCAAAAAAACGGTGGAACACTGGAACCCTCATAATGTTCGGACCTAATCATCTTTTATTCTTCTAAGTCACTAGATAACAAGAAAATTACCAAACAACAACAACAAAAACAATAAACCCAATAAAATCCCACAAAAAAAAAGATCCGCGAGGAAAGGTGTGTTGTGTGTACAGACCTTACCCCAACCCAGGAGTAGAGAGCTGGTTTCCAAGAGACCATGACTCAAGCACAGATACACATACAGAGTAAACACAATACTAGGAAGTAGGAACAAAGAGCACAGACCTAAGAAGTACACATACCGACACTAGTAATTAGAGACACAAAGCACACAGAAAGCACTCAAGCACAAGCTTACCTAAACTACAAATTAAGCTCCAAAAGTCAACCAACCTCCTCTAACCCTAGATCTCCAATAGTTTCTATTAAGACCATATCCTCGGTGAGACCCGGAAGTCAAAAATCCTGGACTCTTTCCAACAATTCCTAGGTCTACCTCTACCCGTTCTCACGCCCACGACTGCAAGTGTCTCGCCTCTCCTTACCAAGGCCTGTGCACTTCTCCTCCTTTTATGCCCAAACCAAAGATAGGAGCACTAAAGAACTCGGCCAATCGCAGATTCACAGCCACAACTTTAACACATTGCAGAAGTTCCAGTTGAGTGTCTAATTCAGATAAATAGAGTCAAAAACTACTTGAAATCAGAGCGAACTTCAAATCAACCAGATGGAACATAGCATGAACACTTTTCCTGTACTACTTAATTCGACATTCTTATGAACTAAATATTTTTTTAAAAAAAAAATCTGCTGTGGATTACCTTGTCGTGAATAACGACCCAACAATCGCCCTTAGTCTTGTGCTCGGATGCTTCTTCCATGGAACATAGCTTCGTTATCGTCGGCATCTCTTCTCCTTTTTCAGAGAGATTTCTGTGCCCTAAATAAATAGCTCGGTGCTTCTTGGTGGTGTGTTGGGCAAGAAGCCTAACCGCTTAAATATGATGAAATGTTAGAAGACTTGTACTAGTAGGTAATAAGTAAAATAAAAATAAATTACTCTCCAAGTTCAAGGTTTTGTTTGGTAACAATGTTTTCGATTAACGTTAGCGTTTTGGATAAAATTTTAACGGTGCAGATTAATTCTGAAAACGCTAACGCTAAAAGCTACCGTCGGATAGCTTTTTCAAAACGCTAACGCTAATCTCTGACGCTGATGCCAAACAGGGCCCAAATGAATTTAGTGTTAATCCCTATTTTAATATTTTAACTTGAACAGGTTTTCCTCAAGAGGGAAAAATATAATAATAAAAAATTGGAAAATTTGCAAGGCCAACAAATTTGTGATTTCATAGTGTCACTCCTAAATTTCACACTCCCTATCGTCTTAAAAATCCATTCTATTTTGATTTTTTGGTCAAAGAGTGATACTTTTTAATCATAGTTCAAATATAATTTAAATAAATAAACAATATAAAATTGATATATCAAAACTGTATCTTAAAATGAACCCAAATATGTTGAATTTGTATAATAATTAAATATAGTGAAATTTGTATTGAATATGACTAAAACATATGTCATTTCTCAATGTACGACTTAAATTTTTTAATTTCTTAAATAGGACTTAATAATTACCAGGAAGAAGAATAATATCCAAGTGATGTTGGACATTTAGTTAAATAATGACTAATAAATAATGACCAATGATCCGACATTGAAATATAAAAACATATGATAGTGCATTGAGAAAGTCATTATGTTTTAGTCATATTTAGATAAATTACTCTTAAATATATTTTTCATAATTTAAGATCAAAGAGTATTACTGTTTAACCAATAAAGTCAAAGCAAAAAAGTTTTTAGGACCAATGAAAGTTTTGTTTGGGAATAGCGTTTTCGATTAGTATTAGTGTTTTGGATAAAATTTTAATGGTGTAGATTAATTCTGAAAACGCTAACTTTAAAGGCTACCGTCGGATAGCCTTTTCAAAACGCTAACGCTAATAGCCAACGGTGATGCCAAACGGAGTCGAAGTAATTCACACTACTGCTTATAATAATTGCTCTATTTTCATACGAAATTCCCGCACACCACATCAATTGTCTAATCACATGTTTACGTGGAATTAGAAGCTTGGAATGATAATTAAAATAATTTATTCCTTGCTCGGCATTATTTCCTTGAAATGCAAAAATAATAAAAAATAAATTTGAGCATATTAAATTATACAGAGTAATAAGTACTCCCTCAAGATTACTTGATCTTTAAAGATGATAATAACTTTTTTCAATTATATATTTTTCATATTTATTTTTAGATAAAAATAAATAATGCTATTTATTTTTAATAGCTATTTTGAAAACTCATAAAATAAGTACTTCAAAAATTAAGTCTACAATTTATTTTGAACTTTTTAGTTTTTTATCCTATTTTGTATTTCAATCAAATAAATATAAATCTAAGATGTTATGATATGGCACGCAAAGTATTTGTATGAAAATAGAGCAAACTAAGAATATTTGTATGAAAATAGAGAGGTCTAATTTGTATTCTCCGTAAAATAAGTACTCCATACATTAAATCTATAATTTATTTTGATTGTATCTATTTTCTTCATATTTTTTATTTCAATCAATTAAATATAAATCTAGAATATATTGTTTTTTAATGTGGCAGGCGAAGTATTTGTATGAAAATTGAGCGGGCGAAATTTTTTGAAATGTACAAATTTATTTTGTGAGTTTTCAAAATTGTTCAAAGAAAATGAAAAAATGAGCATGATATAATTTTAATCTAAAAATGAATAAGAAACATTTATACTTAAAAAAATATAAACATCTTTAAAAATCAAATTATATTTATTCTTCCGTCCCTTAATTGCATTCTTATTTTTACTTTTATAAAATTTAAAGAAGAAATATTATCCTATTAAATTTCCAAAAATATCTTTAATGTGATTGAGATAAAAAAGAAGGAAAAAAACTTTTAAGGGCCAATGCCCCTACTATATTTTTCCAGTACGGTACACCTTTTTTTATACGGAGTACTTCCCCCATCTAAAATTGAGGGGACTCCATTTAATTAGATCAATTTTTAATTTTTGTTTGAAGTTTTTTAGTAAAGTGTTTTAATTGCATATAATTAATTGCTATAAAATAAAAATTTTCACAATGCCTATTAAAAAAATCAATTCAATAAATGCTCGAATTAAAATTCATTGTTTTTTTTGTCATTTGATACTACATACGGAGTATTTTTTACAAAAAAATCTTGGCCGCTGTCCCGACCAATGATGCCCCAATTATCCAAATTCCTGAATACGCACGTGTCACCAGTTCACCACCCCTTAAAAGTGGGTTCTTTTAGAAAAAACAAAAGAAAAATGCTAGGAGTACACCAAAATCTAACATGTGTTACTAAACGACTAACAGGATTAAAAACATAAACTCAAAAAAAAACATCACTCAGTGAACCATAAAATATGCTTCTCATATTAACATCATTTGACAGTGTACTATACAGCATATTAATATGCTTCTCATATTAACATCATTTTGCAAGCAATAACGTTATACGTAGTACTATTCAATCAAGTTACATACCAGTCCCATTTATTGCTTGCTGATGCAGAGTCTCTCATATAAGAAGTTTCTGGGAAAAAACCTATGAGTTCAAGAGGGCAAATACACAAGCAGTTGACCTCCATCGTTGGCTATGGCCAAAGCTCCGATCTTTGAATCGTCTGTTGCAATACTTGAAACCGATCCATCTGACAATGAAAAAAAAAACTTCCCAACAAATTAGCCGGTCTGAGATTATAAAAAAACTTATACTTCGTATATAGTGAGTATTAATAAATAAACCTATGATCAAAAGTGAAATGGTAGCAATAATATTTTACCTTTGAAGTGGTGCAAGCTACCAAGTTTAGTTCCAGTGATGAAGTCCCAGAGGTAGACATGTCCGTCACTTCTACCGATAATTCCATGGCCACCAGAGGCACCCACAGCAGAAGCCCTGCAACAGATTGGATTTCTATGATTCATGGGAAAGGCAATGCGATGAAACACAATAAATGAATTGGGCCAAATCCTTTCAAGTTCAAGCACAGCTAAAGAACTTTTTTTCTCACCTCAAAAACAATAATGAATGTGAGCAGTAACAGTATCATTATCATATGGATACTCACCCATACAGTCGACCTTAAGTTTTTTTAAATCCTAACACTATGTTGGGTTCAAGGTATTTGAAATGGAAAAGAAAAGAAAATGAGATGGAAAGCCATTTTTCTTGTTTGGACAGAGAGAAAAAGAAAAGAAAAATGGAAGGAAAAGAAAATGAAAATGCAAAATGTACTAAGAGAAGGGGAAAAAATTCCTTCCATTTTGGTGAGGAAAATGTGAGAAAATCATTTTCTTTTGTTTTCCTTCCAAATTCCTTGAACCAAACATAGTGTTAATATTTTTTTCATTTCCCTACCGTTCTCAGAATTCCAAACAAAGCCTACCAAGGTGATTTAAAGGAGCATGCTTATCTTCAAACAAGAAATATAAAATCGGGATCAGTCAAAATGTATGAGTATATAGGCAGGTGTAAGGTCTGCATACACACACCCCTTAAGCCTCAGCCCCACTCATGTGATTCCTCCGGGTAGGTTGTTGATTTGTTGTTGAAAAACCTCAAAGATGATATACAATCAAATTATCTTTTATTTAGTATGTCTCCATAGAGGCCTAAAGTTATGTCCTGGTTACCTGGGTTCCAGCACATCTCCCATGATTACGGTGTTCTTAGCCAGTAAAGCAAGCTTCCAACATCTAACTGGATCACTTAGGTCACTTGATTGATACCCAGCTTTGGTTTCAAGGGTAGTTGAAACCAAAAGCCAAACACCCACCTCGTCAGCTTCTAAGTAGCAGACAGTATCGGTGTCACCTTTTCCTGAAAATGATTCCTTAGTGGCATCCACGACTTCATTAAAAACCTCCTCAATGTACAGGTCTTGAAGGATATTGCATCTCGCCTTCCATGTAAACAGACTAAGAGGAACACATTGAAAAACTGAAGTGTGAGGAGAAGAGAATTTGGAAACAAGAACTCTCTTGTTTATATCCCTGTGGAATAACAAAGAGAATGAGACTGAGAAAGATGTTAGAGTGCATAGCATGAAAAAGGGCAAAAATATTTGAAATAGACAATAAAGTTCTATACTATAGCAGATAACCATCTAAACACCATGAACCCACACTATCTAATATGTTAAAACCATTTTTCCTTGTTTATGCTAATTAAGAGAATATGATAGGAAATTACAATTTTGCAAAATGATTTGGTCTAATGAAGTCAACTTTTTTGAACATAGAATGTGGAGAGGCCATGATTAACATTATGTATGGAGCAGTACACATCATTTTACAGCAACTGTAAAAAGAATAATGTGGAGTACTATGCACTAAAAAACTTGATGCAATTTTGGGTGTTTTGCCTAAATTTTGGTCAAGGAATATTCCAAATAAAATTTATATAGTTTTACATCAGTCCTGCACTTTAGAGAGTGTGTGTGTGTGTGTGTGAGATATGCACTGCATAATGCAGAAAACAGAGGATAAGCAGAACTTATTTACCATAAGCTGAACTCCCCAAACCCATTAAGACCGAGGACCAGATGCACAAGGTTTGGTATTCTCTTCAACCTTGTTAAAGGGGTCATGCAACTTGTTGATTGCACAAAACACTCGTCTGTCTTCTCTCTGCATTTAAGCCTCATAATGAGAATAGATGTAAAGATAAATTGTTTAATCCAAAATGATGAGCCATTGATACATATTTTTATTTCTTCAGTTACAGCAATATAATCAATGGTTAATCAACTTGGACCAAAATGGAAAAAACATAGTGTTCAAGCCACATTACATTTCCATTTATAAATGAAGTCAAGTTATGTCAAATCATTGAACAAGTTAATACCAAGTTGCAGAAGGTGTAATTAAAATTTATCAAGTCAAGCTACTGCTAGAAGAGCACCTTATAATCACTCAATAAGTCACTTTATTAGTAAGACATCTTGCACATATACTAGTCTTAAATACTCCAATTTGTGTATAAAAAAATAACTAATGCAAAAAAGCATCAATATATGCATTTATTTCTTGTGAATAGAGAAGTATGAATAGAATGGCGAACTCAATTTGATGGGCAACAATCAGAAGTAGTCACCTCCATTTCGAGTCCATTAGCCAAATGTAAAGCTTCCCACTGTTATCAGCAGCAATAAGGTGATGAGGTATACATGCTAATATGCAGCGGACACTTTTTGTTGATTGTAATCTAGCTATTACTGAAGCATAACCAGCTTTAATTTGCATGATTTTTACTGCATTATCATGGAGATCTGATGCACATGCTGAGCAGCGACAATTTACATCACCCTTCCTGAAAATATTAGGAGGTTAGGATCTGAAGTACGAATGCAGAATTGTTGTGTATGGCTATATTTGAAGATTTGTAACCTGCAGCATGGAACTTTTATACAGTTCAACAACAAGAGGTATTGCCCGTAAGGAGAAAACTGCAAAGCAGAACTGTCTAGTTCGATCTACAGAGAAAGCACAATAACTTATCAGAAAAAAGTGTGTAAAAGCTACTTATGACAGAAAATAAAAAGCAGAAACATCTTACTTCTCTTCCAAATGGTAACATTAATGACGTATATCCAACAAAAGAAGGGTGTCCCTCATCATCCCCCATTATGGGTGCCTTGTATAGATAAAGCTTTCTTCCCTTTTGCGAATTGGGCCCACATAAAACACAAATATGAACTTCTTTTTCGGTAGTTGTCACCAGTACCATTGAAACTGGCTCAGGATGAACATAGCAAGCAACAATCTTCAAAGCGCCTTTTAGCTTGCTCTTACTATTTTCTATATCCATGATTGAACCATTATTTTCAATTTGCTTTTCGCTCAAGCCACCAGAAGTATCATTTCTTTCATTTTGCATATATGACAACGAAGTAACACATTTTTTATCTCGAAGGTGCTCGGCTGCAGCATCAAGTTTAAATATTTCTTGGCAAGAATTTGTTGGGTGACCATCTGAATTATGTTTACCATCCAATATCCTACTATTTTCTTGATTTTGAAACAAAGGGCTCGCATCATGAAGCACACCATCAATACTTGTTGCTCTATCCTCAACATGGGGGCATAGCAGTGAGGGATCATTTTTCTGTTCTTTACCAAATAAGTTTCTTTCCTCTTGAGTCTGGGCTGTCTGGCAGTGATCATACCATTGTGATGTGTGTAAAGCACTCGAAGAACTTGCTTTGGCAAATACCTCTGCAGCGGAGTCATCTATGAATTCCCGGCATATGATGCTCTCTGAGAGAGGAACATTTTCTAGCATTGGTTCAACAATAGAGACATTTTCACTACTTACAGCCCCACATATGTTTATGGTGTTAGTAACATTTTCCATTGAAGCTGTCACCAAAGTCGTCTTGCAAGCCATACTGATATCACTGCTCCGCATGTCTGACACAGAAAGAAACCTTAGTGCATACATTTTTTCTACAAAAGGTATTCAGCAAGCAAGTACAGAGGCAATATAATTCAATTAGATGACTTTTCAGTCACTGAACTATATTCAAATAAGCGTTAATCAAATCTAGTATTCTAGTTGGGATCAGTTCTCCGCACGCGCACGCACACACACTCTCTCTCTCTCTCTCAGTCTCTCTCATTCCAAGGAAATATTTGAAGTTTGTTAAGAATAATCTTAATTTTCCTAAAATGACCTTATAATTTCATGGCACTTTGTTACCCGTAAGAAGCTCAATAACTAATGATCCTCCATTTAACAAGGACAATTGTGAAAATAAATAAATATGCATATAATTATTGATACTCAGGGTAATATAAAATTAACTTACATTTAGGGACACACTACTGTGCCCTATACACAGGACTGGAGGGAGTAAATATATTGTTGAAGACTGAAATGTTGGATTACATTTTCTGGATCTAACCGAAATATATAACATCATTAAAAAGATGCACTTAAGAAAGAATACATAGTAGCTAGGTATGTTCTCCTTAATTATAGTTTAGAGTCTGGATGCAGTTGTAATTTTAACAAAGTATGGAGTGAAGTTTGAGTCTATAGAGGGGAAACTGGAGTCTCGATAATTAAAATATAATATTTAACAGAATATACCCTTAGGGCTGGTCCAGGATGACTTGAGATTGATAGCCACTTGGAATACAACAAACATGGGAGCTATATGTCAACAATTATAAATCTCAAAAAGCATGATAAGTACTCTAGATATGGATTTAAATGAACATTAAACTCACCTTTGGGATTGGAGCATAAATCCATCTGGAAATCATTGCAAACTAGTGATCCTTCATCTGAGTCAACAAAATCTGGCAGTTTGGTTTTTTCATGCAGTTTAGTATCAAGAGCTGGAAAACTTTTATCCGCTTCTACAATTTCAGATGACTCAGGTAGTTCAGTATCTGGAACATAAGCACCCTCATCATTGTCCAAACTATCAGGAACTATGGATCCAACATGTCCTACAATTTCACACGATTCAGGTAGTTCAATATCTGGAACATACGCACCCTCATCATTATCCAAACTATCAGGAACTATGGATTCTACATGTCCACAAGATATATCTGAAGCACGACCTCCTTGAGCAAATTCAATCTTTCCCTCCATTTCCAAATTTGATTTCTCAGAAAGCTTGCTGACTTTGAGATGTTGCAAAAATCAATTAATTATAGAATTATTATTTCCAACCGAATACAAATATACAATGACATAACACATATGGGAAATATTCAATCAAATGATTGCTAGAGAGATTAACAACAGTAATTGATGAACATTAAAATAGAGGTTTACACACCACATGTGATACTATCAGGGTCACTCTTATTTTCTTCCTTAGACATACAGAGAGATCTTCCTTGTGGTTCTGCATTATTTTTTTTCTTCCTTGAGAATGTCTTGATCAGAGATGGTGGCTCAGGGAGTAGAATTGACAACATTGACTTGGCTATTTCCTGAGGATATCGCTCAAACTCAATCTTTGATGAGCTTAAATTTGAATAAGGTATTTTCAGTTCTTCTTCTTTATGTGAACCAGTTTTTAGAATATCAGGAATGACTGTGTCATGGGAACTCATTCCATCTTTTCTTCCACAAGTTGAGGCTAGATTAAAAGAGTCATCTGCAAGAAGTAATCATCATCATTAGTGAGGATGAGTTGGAAATACTGCTCAAGCCAACATGGAGAAAAGAATCAAAAAATGTTATAGAAATAAAATCACTGAGCCCTGGTCTAAAACAATTCATTATTAGTGATGCCACATACCTCTTTGGTGATCCAAATTATTATGTGTGTCAAGGTCCACATCATTATTTACATGCAAATCATTTGTGACTAGTGTTTCTTCATTATTTTCCTTTGCGAAAGGGTTACCGTGCACCTCAGCTTTTAAAACTTCTAACCTGCCAAACTGTTAGAACTTAAGAACATAGGTGTAACTTGAATGATTGGTGCTCAATACTCCAGGACTGGGATGGACAATAGCATTGGAAACAAAATACAAACAATGATCAATTAAAGGCCTAACTCCTGAACAGGGAGGAGATTAGAAAAATGAGTGAGGGATAAAGCTATTTGTACCCCAAACTTTTGTACCCCATTTTGTACACCGCAGGTTTGCACCGACATTTTGTGTTGGTGTAAAACTAATTTTTGTTAACGCATCAACACTTTGTGTCCGTGTAAATTTTTGTTAATGCACCAACACTTGTGTCGGCGTAAATCATCAAAATGTTTGTGTATAATTGCGGTGTACAAATGGGGTACAATTTTTTATGTAAGTGTAGCATGGCCCATGAGTGAGCACACAGGTGGAATTGTAAGGAATGCCAGATGGGGATGGAATCATAATGCCTATTGAGCAATAGAAAACAGGGGTACAAAAACCAAAACTTACAAGTTTTCCATCTTTATGCAAAACACCCACTTCTTCTAAAGGTGGTTGAATTGGACGAGTTGAAAATTTATTTTCATCTTGTGAAAAGAGACGACAAGCCTTGGGATGATCCTTTATATTTAGAGACACCAATTGTGAACTGTCCTCCTTTGAAACTTGTTTTTCCTCATTTTGCATTATAGATTCCAATCTCACAGATCCTGACAATACTTTGGTACTATTAATTGGTTCATGTTTCTCGTGAATAGAATGTGAAGCATCGGAGTTGCCTTTTTTATTTCCTTGTCTGTGCTTTTTGAGGCCAGTATTATTGTATGAGTTTATTTTTTCTCTCCTACTCCTCTTTCCTGTTACTTCTGTTTCAATGGATTGGCTTGGATTGTTAGTCTCCAAAACCGTGTTTTTGTGGGAGTGGGAAGCTGGTGGAAGCTTCTCAGCAGTTTCAGTGACATCTGCAACTAGTTCCTTGAGTAACCTCTGGACAGATGCATTCTTGAATCCAAAAAACTGAAAATCAAAAGCAATGAGAAGAAACAAGTCATCAATTTAGGAAGATCTAAATTCTAAATATTCGCAATGCAGAAAATACAACAAACAACCCGCCCCCACCCCCAGCTTGGATTTTATTTAGCCAAATCCAAGACTTTCCAGACATTATGCACTCACTTCAACACCGTCTATTTTACAGGAGAATCTCTTCCCAGGCAATGACTTTACTCGAGGACATCCTTTCTTCTGAAAGCACTCCCATGCCATATCAGGAGTTTGCCCACTATATGACTGACCATCGATAGAACTAATCTGCAGAGAGAGAGAGAGAGGCTTTGATGTGACATCAATGACAACAGTATGGAAATCATGTTCATTGCATAGGTTTCATGCAGTCGAGTCATTGTAACACACCGAAAAAAGGGGCCCTTTAAGACCTTCAAGGATTTCCAATTTATAGGTAACTCCATTTTGATTACGTAAAGCTTTGTATCCAACAGGATATGGATAGCGGTCTTTTCCCTAAAAGAAAAAAAAAATGACGTTAGGCATAAATCAAAATAACGTAGAGTATGAAAGTTGAAATGGATAAGGATGTAAGCTTGTGACTCACAAGTCATGCTTCATAACATAATGCCTAGGGGCATAGGCATGGCCCCTTCATACAAATCATTTACATAATAGACCGAGTGGAAGCACAGTTAAACATCATCTTTGAGTTTTTAAAACTAGAAGACCTTCAAACCAACTTCTAAATCCATGTGACAGTGGGTGCCCTTAAGTCCAGCACAACTATTCTTCTTGAAAAAAACTCATGTTTTTGTGTAAGCACATTTTACCTTCAACCACTAACGAATAATGTCGGAACTATGTTTAAGTGTTATCTGATCCACTAAATAGAAGTCAGGACTTTTAACCATCTTGAGCAAACAGTTAACGGGAAGCTTATGGTTTATACATTGATAATATAAATATGAAATGGACTGTTTAGAGGAAGACAATGGGTCATATCAAATCTTCAGAAACAGTTAACAGGAAGCTTATGGTTTATACATTGATAATATAAATATGAAATGGACTGTTTAGAGGAAGACAATGGGTCATATCAAATCTTCAGAAACATCTCATGATGGGAAGATATGAGATGATCAGGGGAGAGAAACTAAAGTCTAGAGTCAGTTTAGTTCTTGCTGATTTGCTTTCAAACTCTTTTTATATGCGCAAGGAGAATCTATGGTTGACATCATTGTTACCCGTTATCATCCTAATCTGCAATCATCTTCCTACTGCCGAGTTACTGTTTTTCCCTGTCCATGTCCTCTCCATAATGGAGATGCTTTTATAATAATTTTAAAATACTTCATTTGGCAATACATAATACAGAGTACCACACATTGACTGACTAACCAAAGAGCTAACAGCTTGCTCAATTGCCAAAAAAACTCGCTCTCTCCATAAATAAGATGTCACATTTCGGATTACTAGGATTGACTATTTTTTATCAACTCTTAGTTTCAAATTAGTTATTAAAATTTACATATCAGCCATATCTAAAGACTTAACAAAAATTGTACTAAACTGCACAAACCATTTTTGCATATGATAAAAAATTGATCTAGAAAGTCATCACAGAAAGATGAGTTGAGTTCCCCAGATGACTAGTGAAAGTGATATCCTTGAAAAAGGATGGAATTTCACAATTCTCATCTCCCTTTGGAATCACTAATTCAATCCACTAGCCACTGCCACTTTCTATACATAATAATCCAAGTTTACTTTTCGCCCATCATACGTCCCTTGCGCACTCAGTGTACTTATGCACAATTGGAACATTCCTCAATATCATTGCTAATTAAGCAAAAATAACTCATCAAAATTCAGATAAGTAGCCCAAATGGAAAAAATGCACACAAAACACATTAAGTGTGATGAGCTTCTAGAATCAGTCATTCAGATGATGCCTTGTGCTTAAGTGTAATGTATTGTTAAACGTGAAAGATGAATACAAAACTGCCTGGAAGCACAAATACATTTGTCTTCTGGTTCAATTTCAATTTGCTCACAACTGTGAGATTTTGAACTCAGATCGCATTCCAAAGTTTAAATAACACGGAATAAAATTCAAAAAACGAACGATTGATCATAAATAGAGGAACGATCATAACAAAAAAGGAGATGCAAACTAAGAGGAGCGGAAATGGAAAGGACCGAACCCTAGTGGAGCTCCAGTACTTCTTGTCCCACGGACCGCTGTACAGCTTGCCAATTGAGACGATCTCCAGGCCGCCGGATTTCTCTTCCATGGCTGCTTCCGAAATTATCCTTTCCCCTCTGCTTCACCGTCTTCGTCTCCGTCCTCACTGTTTTAGAAAGAGAGAGAATCTAGAGAGTTCAAATGGCGGGAACCCAATTTAGTGTAGGAGCAATCTCCCTCCAATTTGTAATTTTTCTTAGTTTCAATCCCCTCTATTTAGCATGTTAATTATTTGTGATTTGTATTAGTGTGAGCCAACAAAATATAAATTATAAAGCTTTGGGTTACAAAATTATGTTTTGAACTAAGAAATCATTCTAAGAGACTTTTATTAGGACTGAAAAAAAGAGTTAGATGTTGAAAGAAATTGGAAGATACTAGAAGAAACTTGAAAGCTCTGGAAAATGCTGAAGATACTAGAAAAACTTCAAAAAATTAGAAAATCTAAAAAACTTTTAAAAAAGTTTATTTTAGTTTATTTTTATATTATTCTCATTCTAATTATTGTTGTTATAAATTATTATTATTATCATCATCATCATCATCATGTTATCTTAATGAATGGTCTTATATAAAGTTAGATTAATAAAATATTTTACGTAACTATTTTATCCATAATTTTTTAATAATTTAAAATATTGATGTTTTCATGTTTTATCATGTAAATTAATATACAAAAATTGTCTTATTCATATTAAAAAATTGAAGAAAAAAACAATGGGTGTGAATCCTAAAAATAGCTAGATGAAAAAAATAACTTAGAACTAATAATAATAATACTCCGTAATAATAATCACATTAAAAATATATCATTTTTAAAATAATTAGTTGTGGAGTATAAAGAGTTTGTAGAAATCTATAATAGTTGGAAGGAATTAGAAGAAAGTGGAAGGAACTAGAAAAAAACTAGAAGTTAAGAGTTTAAGCCATAAATAACATGCTCTAAATAAGAGTAAAAATATATAGACAAAGTAAATTTCATTTTTTCAATGTTAATGGCTCGATTACAATGTACTATCGATCTGTTCATACTTTCTCAATCTAATTATACACAGAGAATCACTTGTCTCCATTCTTTGCTTGGGCTAGAAATCCTCGAATCAAGGTAAATTTCTCCATGAATTCGGAAAGTAAGCTTCCTACCAGTCAAGACAGCGGAAATGCTCCCTTGAACCAAAGATAGTGTAAAAGAAAACATTCAAAAACTTCTTTCACTTTTTGGAAGAAAAGAATGTGTGATTCACATTATTTAGTTTCTTTTTACTCAATGCAAGATACAATCATATACTCTGTAAATTGTATAATACTTTATTAAAAAATCATGTCAATTCAAAGAAGATAATTATAGGGGGAGAAACAATTATAAGAGCAGGAGAGCTTTTCTCTGCTGCTCAACTCTGTGGAGATGGGTGGACAACTGCTGCAAATCGATGGTGGGTATCCCGCCGCCGCCTTCTTCAGACTGGAACCCTTCATCCGTCTCATTCTCATAATAAACGCCGCCTGCGCCGTCGTCAAGGAGGCGGCGACAGTAATTGCCGTCGGTTTCGATGACTCCGTCGGCCGCCGGGCACAGCAGATCCTCGTCTCCGGTCAAGCCCCGCAGCACGGAGCTCAGGCTTGAAGTAGGATTGTTTCCGAAATTGACATTCATTTGGAATTGGCTCAACCCGGCAAGAGAAGCTGCCCAACATATAACAATAAAATATTAGGCCCAATTAGAAGCTTCATATTTTTATTTTTAAAATAAAAGTTTGCACTATGATAATATAATGTACTGTATATGGACATTTCATCATACTTTTTACTACGGACTACGGAGTATTATATTGACATCATTGATATTGTGTATGCAATTTAACTCATATTTCAAAAATAAAAACATGAAACTTCTATTTTAATATTTTGATAGTTTTTTATTCGTATCTAGACAGTTCTACCATAAATGTAGGGTTGGGGCCCAACGGGCGGCTAATAACGATTGTGCCGCCCGCATGAAGCGAAGGCATAAAATTTTAGATCACCAAGAACGGTATTTCTGATATCATGTTATTAAAACAATATAGTCATGTCACCACTAATTTAATAGGTCATTTGGTCTAGTTTTTAAATATGTAAATCTTATTTTTTTTAATCCTGCACCGTTTTTCATATAAATAAATGGAAATAATAACTTGAGCCAAATATCGTAAACCGAAACACAGACAATTTAAATTAGGACGACCATAATTAATAGTACCATTATATTCCCTCCGTCCCAAAAAGATTTACACCTTTCAAAAAAATTGCGTCCCAGAATCTCCTACTCATTTCTATTAAAAAACCACTTTTACCCCTTACTTTTTCAAACCCTACCTATCACATCATACATTTTTCCTAATAATCTACACATCACATTCTACTTTTACCCATCACATCAAGGATATTTTTGGAAAGTCAACAAAAAATTATCCTTCCCTTAATTTCAACTTTAGTCAAAACGTGTAAATTTTTTTGGGACGGAGGGAGTATATATTTTCATATATACCTGCAGCATGGAGAAGAGGGAGGTCTTTGGGAAGAGAATAATAATGGTGGGTGGTTTCACCAGGTGATCCTTGTTGGAGCTGCGGGGTAGTGGAGAAAGAAATGTGATTCTCCTCCAATGATTTCTTATTATTAGTCTTCACCATTATTGGCCTCATACTGTTCTCAACTTCGTAGGCTGTTTCTTGACAGAAGTAATTCTTGTTATTCCCAGCAGGAAGAAGCAGTTCTGGTATGAAAAAATGACTCGTCTGGGAATTCATGCCAAAGAACCTCGTTGCACCTGCCATTGTATACATGAGACTAAGACGTACATTAGATGAGACCAGATCAGATTAGAACTTATTCCAATCATATCAGAATCATTCTCATAAAAAAAACTCTGAGTTTGACTTAGCACCAAATTTAAGTTAAAATGTGTGGTTCAAAGTGATACAGAGGAGAGCGAAAGATTGTGAACTACTCAAAATATTTCATAAAAGGAAAGCATTTTTTTTGAGACGTCTCAAAAAAAATAAAGAATCTTTTTTTAACAGAGGGAGTAAACATTTTCAAAAATATACGGAGTACTTTTTTTTTAAATTTTTACACAAAAAAGACTTATTCGTTCCTATTACGGTACATCTCATACGGTGACACTCTGGCGCCACTGCCACTTTGAGGCACTTTTGGTGCTCTATTTGCAAAATTGATGGTTCCTACCCTACTCTCCTAACCACGCCACACATTTGGAGGAGAACTTAGGGCGGGGGATTGAGGTGGGTGGGTTAGGATAGGATTTAGGGGGGGCGGTTAGGAGTAGGAACAATCAATTTTGAAAACGGAGCACCGAAAATACCCCAAAATGGACGAGTGTCATGTGCTGACACTCAATTCTAGTGTCAACGAAACCCCACTTCTCCTAATATGTTCGTTTATATTTGCTAAACCATTTAGTGCATTCGCGTTAGGACAATAATGTTGGTTTTCATTCACAACTGTGCAGTAATGCAAATGTTCGATAAGGGTAGTACAGTCTTTTATAGATGTTTTAGTCCAACATATAAGAAGTAATGCAAATGTTCGATAAGGTAGTAATCCGTCTCACTCTCTTTGTCCACTTTTAACTTTTGGAACTGTTCAACTAAACACTTTAACTCATCAAATTCTCTCAATGTGTAAGCCTAAATATAGTCATGTGTGATCTTGTTTGATTTGTCTTAACATATAGATTATTAATATACTCCCTCCGTCCCAAAAAGATCTTCCTGTTTCATTTTTTGCGCGCCTCATAAAACACTTCTATCCCGCCTCAAATGCAAAAAAAACTTTCAAAACAACTTCTACTTATAATAAATGAGAAATGTAGTAAATTTTAGACATTTTAGATGTGTATAGAAGTGTTTTATAAGATGCGCAAAAAATGAAACAAGAAGATCTTTTTGGGACGGATGGAGTATAATTTTTATAATTTTTTAATATACAAATTACAAGATAAAATTGATTAAAAAAGTGCATTGGATGGTGTGCCAAAAGGTAAGTGGACAAAAAGAGTGGGACGGAGGGAGTATAAATTAGGCCTTACTCCATATTTACATAAAACGCTATTGTTTTAGTCTTATTCACGTCATTTACTCTATATAAAAATTAAAATGCCAACAACCACGAGTGAAAATCACTTTTGTGAACATGGTTAGGGTATATTGCATTGAAAAATTTGCACTAAATAAAACTAAAATTTTTCATACTACATTACTGTGTTAAATCTTTCTTGGACCTGCAATTATAAGTTTGATTTTTTGATTGACTTAATTTCTTGACACAGTACGTATTAGAGTCAAATTGATTTAGAATTTTCGAGTTCAAACTTCATTCCCATCCAGTTAAAAAATAATACTCCGTAATATTCATGTGCAAAGTTCGAATCAAAACAAATCTCGTCGACACGTGAGAGGACGCACTAGATTGAGTATAAAATAATTTTTAGCCCTATAACGACACATTGAGCTTTTTATTGTTTTGATTCTTTGACAAACAAAGTCGTGTTGTGATGTACTCCTTCCGTTTCACAAAACTCTTCCTCTTTCGTTTTTTTTGCTTTCCACAAAACACTTCCACTTTCTATTAAAAAACCACTTTTACCCCTACTTTTTCATACCCTATCTATCACATCATACTTTTTTCACTAATAACCAAACTATCACATCTTACTTTTTCCCATCACATCAAGGGCAAAATTGGAAAGTCAACCAAAATTACACTTTCCTTATTTTTCTCCAAAGTCAAAACCGGAAGGGTTTTGTGGAACGGAGGAAGTAATAATTTATGTACTTTTTATGTACATCTAATGAGTATTGCTCGTATATAACTCGATCGTAAATTAACATGCATAAGTTTTATGATAAAAATAGGCAGTGTATCATTTTTATTTTTATCATTGAATAATGAAAGTCTTATTAGTAACAAAATGATTCTTTTAGCAATGAATGAAGAACATACATAAATTTTTATTATGTCCATGCTCTCATGATATACTGGAGAAAAAGGCTAAAATAGGAATAATAAATTAAAAATATACTAAAATAAGAATTCTATATTTTTATTTTTGAAATAGAAGTTAAAATGTATTTACATTACCAATCATTATGACCATACATATTACCAAAAGCAATAGTAAAAAGATCAGGTACAGTGCCACATTACCACAGTGTGAACTTCTATTTAATGAATAAAAATATGAAGTTCCTATTTTGATACTTTCTCTATGTTTTACTTATATTTAGAGTGATTTCTTTAAATACTCCCTCCGTTTCTTAAAACCCTTTCTCTTTAATTTTTTTGTTTTCCTTAAAACACTTCCCTTTTTTATTAAAAAACCACTTTTACCCATACTTTTTCATACCCTACCTATCACATCATACTTTTTCACTAACAACTAAACTATCACATCAAGGGCAAAATTGGAAAGTCAACTACAATTTAACACTTCCTTATTTTCCCCCAAAGTCAAAAGAGGAACTCTTTTGAGAAACGGAAGTAGTATTATACAGAGAAAATGAATTTACAAAATCCATACTTCGTATTATTTAATACCAATATTTTTTTTGAAGCATATTGTTTAAAACTCCCTCCGTCCCTGAAAACATTTCTCCTTTCTTTTTTCATCCGTCTCAAAAAGCACTTCTCATTTATATTAAAAAGTCACTTTTACCTCTTACTTTTTCATACCCTACATATCACATCATACTTTTTTACTAATAATCTATCCATCAAATCATACTTTTACCCATCACATCAAAGGACATTTTTGGAAATTCAATACCAAAATACACTCTCATTAAATCCCTCTTCAAAATCAAAACTCTATCCCATGTTTTTCGGGACGGAGGGAGTATATAAATGTGTATATTTAGAATGTACAAGTATAATAAACATCGGGCTTGTTTGGGAATAACAATTTTGATTAGCATTAGCGTTTTGTACATAATTTTAACAATGTAGATTAATTTAGAAACCACTAAAGGTAAAGATTATCGTCAAATAGTGTTTTCAAAACACTAACCTCTAAGGTTGATGCCAAACAAAAACCATTCGGATTAGTCGGGTGCAATAAGTAAATAGCACATAGTACTCCGTATTTGACTTTTTTACCGTGAAAATTACTCCCTCCGTCCCTTAAAAAGTCCAGTTTTGACTTTTTGAGGATTTAATGGAAGTGTATTTTGGTGTTCACTTTACAAAAATTCTCTTTGATGTGATGGATAAAGTAGGATGGATGGATGGATTAATAGAGAAAAAATGTGATGTTATATGTAGGTTAAGAATTAGTAGTGGAAGTATTTTTTGGGACGAATGAAAAAAAAGGAGAACTTTTTGCGTGACGGAGGGAGTATGAAAAAAAGAACATGACGTCATTAGATTATTTTATTTTGACAAACCTACACGTATTTTCTTTTTTGGGGGTACTTGCACATATTTTCTTAATTAAACACTTGACCATTTTTAACTAACCTAACATGCTTGAAAAATATAACGAAAAAAAACAATTTCCAGAAATTTATTACTCCAAACTCCGTATTTACAAAAGAAACACGGAGATGAAACCATTTTAATATGGGAGAAAGACCAAAGTAGGACTAAAACATTGAAGATATACCAAAATAGGACTTCCATGTTTTTATTCCCGAAATAGGACTTACATTACCAAACATGGTCATATACATTACCAAGAAAGTATAGTAATTTGCACATGTACACTGCCACATTACCACAATGCAAAGTCACGTTACCACAATGCAAAGTCCTATTCCGGAAAAAAAAACATGAAAGTCTTATTTTGGTACTTTTCTCTATGTTTTAGTCCTATTTAAGATGATTTCTATTTTAATATTATTTACTAAGTCTCGTAAAACTTTCAATTTTTTACATTTTACATGTCTTATTAAATATTTCAATTTGTTTTAAAGGGACACTATTATATTGTACTTACTACTCTTAAACCTAACCAAACCTAGCTTGACTAAATTTAACGCCCTACCTGTTTTGACATTTCTTGAACCCTACTTGTTTTGATTGTCGTCGTTTCACTTTGGTCAAACTTTTACAGCTTCCCCACCCAAAAGTCAATACATTAAATGTTTTACGGTACTGAAGAAGTACCACTTTTGTCTCAAATTAAATAACTTGTACACTAATCGGAAGGTTAAATCTTATTCACCTTTCTTTTTACCTATTTTAATTAGTCATTTAATAAATTAATATCTAATCATGTCACTTTATAAATCTTTTTGATATACGGAGTAGCTTTTAAGTATGTAATTTATTTTTTTAGTTTCACCCCAATTTTCATATAAAGTGAATGAAAAATAATTTCAGTCAAATACTATAAAACGAAACACACCATATAGAATGCGATGGATAGAGTATATTATGTAAATACAATTTCTATTTACTTAATTAATGGTTAATATTTAATTTTTTCAATTTTATTTTGAAAAATAAACTAGAAAAATTGCGCGCCTAGTCAAAGAAAATACCCCCTAATATTTTTTTATAACTCATCCGTCAAGAACATTATATTACACTTCTCATTTTTTATATTCTTCCCTAGTTTTCTTTCTCCTAAATAAAATTCTTATTAGACGCTTTATTTTTAAGGCTTTCATTACCTTTCAATCTTTCATAATATCAAGGTGTCAATTTTATCTAGTGAGAGGTAATATTTACAGTATTTTTGTACCAAATTTGTGATTGTAGATCTAGAAAAGGTTTAATATTCACTCCGGTTTAAAAAACTTTTCCTGTTTTGATTTTTTAGTCAAATAATGACACTTTTTACCATAAATTAAATATAATTTGAATAAATAAATGTTATAAAAATTTGATGTATCAAAATAATATTCAAAGATGAATCCAATTATATTTAATTAAAATTATAATTCAATATAATTTGATCACAATTTATAGTCAAAGAGTATTACTGTTTGACTGAAAAAATTCAAAACAGGAAAGATACTTCAGACCAGAAGGAGTATAACGTAATCTACCATTGTGAGGCTCGTAGTGAGGCTTTCTCCTACGCTCATTGTGGCCTGCAAGGCTCTTTCGACAACTTCGCTTATCATCGTCAAATTCAGTCAGCAAATGAAACCTGCATGTAAAATGGAAGTCTTAACTCGCAATACAATACTCTTGGAACGATCATACCGGTGACGGATGGATCGAGTGATTTTTATGCTAATAATTTACCTGCTACATTGCTGGCAAAACCGTTGTTCGATGCCATCAACGACGACTCTTGTCGTCTTGGAGTGCTCATCGCAAACTCGATGTCTCTTGTGGTAATCTTTCGACGTTGTGAGGTCTTTGGAACAACCGTGAACCTGGCAAATGAGGGGTTGTTGGGAGCTGAAACTCGCGATCCTCGGCTTTTTCGACGAGGGTTGTTCCGAGCCCTCGATCAACGACCCTTGACAACATATGCTTTTTGCTTTCTTGCAAGCCCCTAATCTTGGGTTACAATCGTGGGATTCAAAATTTGTAACTCCGAGTGCTTCGTGGGGAAATAAAGCAGGAGTAGTTGTAGTAGTAACGGTAGTAGGAGTAGTAGGCTCTGATACCATGTTAATAAGGGCGTCACGGGGAAGCCAGGCCTCTATGTCACCTGATGATAGTACCAATTGACCACCAAAATCATTAACATCATTATTATGATCAATCACATAATCATCACCTCTTGATGATGAAACCCTAATAAGGCATGGATCATCACTACACAAAGTGGGTGACTTTTGGTGCAACACATCGCTCAAACCAAAACCCACAAGTTCTTCAACTTCATGACTTTGATCATGAAGATCATGATAATTGTCACGAGTGTGATGAAACGGGCTCGAGTTCTTCTGGTGTAGATCGAGAAGACTTCCGCTCATCGTGAACGTCGTATTCGTTTGTAATTCGTCAAGAACATTTTCGGAAAACACGTAGCCTCGTTCTTCGAAAGTGTAGCTCATAGAATCCATATCATATCCTTCTATGCAACACCTAATTTAATTCCAAATATTAAAAAAATATAAGAACAATATGTAATAACACAAGATACCATTTATTTTGAAGCATATATAGTTATAATTAAAAGTAAAATTTCACGTAACGAACCAAGCGAAAAACGAAGGGGATCAACGTAGACGAGACCGAGATATAAAATTCACAAGATCCGTGAAAATTAATTAAAAACCCCAAACCCTAGCTTGAATATATGATCATGAAATGAGATCTATCACAAAATATCTTAACAGAATCAAACTTTATAAATATATATAGTCTGCGATCAAAAGTTCAAACTTGTAACTGCCTACCGCTGTGACGAGATCGAAGTTCAATGGATTATAAACCCTAATTTGGATTGAGCCACCACAAAGCTATTATTGGAAGATACGGAGTAATATATATAATTAATGAACTTCTCAAGACTCATATATACATATATATATAGACATCATCTTCTTCAAATAATACAAGAAGTTAGTATAGCTAATTAAGAGAAATAATAATGTTAAAAAAAAAGAAAAATGAAATTATTTTTCCTAGCTAATTCTCAACAGCAACAGAGAGTACAAACCCAGACAGCACAATCTGGAAACAGTTAAAAGTTGGGAACAAACACAACCAAATACTCTTAAAGAAAAACCCAATAAGTTGGAGCATCAGAAAGTTGGCTATTTATAAATTAATTAAACAAGTTGTACGCTACCAAATATCAAGCACATGTGCAAAAAAAAAATCCTCCTAAAATATACTGACTTTGATCTGTCAGATAAAAATCTTCTTATTTGATTTTCACAGAATTTAAGAAAATTGTTAAAAAATGAAAGTAAAAATGTAGCTAAAATTGGTTAAAAACATTATCCGAGCCACCGAGCCAGGCACTTACTTTTTGCCGTAAAAAGGTTGAATCCCCAACCTCAAGGGCCCCACTCCCGGTCCTGACGAGTATGTGGAGGGAGGTAAATTATCCGGACCCAACGGCCTATTAAAGGGGATGCTTTGCCCCCACAGACATTGCAAGAAGCTAATTCTTTGAGTCGGAAATGTCCTCAGAATATCACTCTCACACTGCACGCCGCGGGGACTCGACGTTATATTGCGCCTTGTTGCAAATCTATTCCTTCGAGAACCAACTAAGCTACCCAGCGAGCAGCGCGCCACGCACTTATCCTTTTCTTATAAAAGGGAAGTGAAATTGTTTTTGGAACGAGTAAAAGAGAAAAAGCAAAGATTTTTACGAGATGAAAGGTGTAGAGTAGGTGCCTATTTTTTATTTTTTGATCCAGGTTAATTATTTGTCTACTTATAACTTTTTTAAGAAATATTTGCACTAAATAGTACTAAAACATAAATTTTTTTCAATGTATGACTTAAATTTTTTTATTTTCTAATTAAATAACACTTAATAATGTCTAGAAGGAAGAATAATATCCAGTGATAGTGAACATTTACTTGAATAATGGCTAATGCATACTGACTAAAAGTACTACATTGGAAAAACCATTATGGTTTAGTACTATTTAGGTAAATTTCTCTTTTTTAATCATTTTACTCCTTTCCTCCTAAAAAAATGCTGAGTCACTATTTATATAGTCAAATTTTAATCATTTTTTATCTATATTCATTAGTCATTTGATAAAATAACATAATCATCTTAAATATTTTAAAATATTTAATTTTTATTTTTTAATTTTACATCTATAACCAAATAAATTGAATTGAAAATAACTTCAATCAAAATGTAAAAAGAATACTTTAGGACGGAGGGAGTAATAATATGCATACATAATCTATATATCACATATATATATTACTTTTACTCATCAGATCACATCAAGGACAAAATTGGAGAATTAACTATAAATATACATTTCTTATTTTGGCTAAATTAAAGTCAAAATATGAATGGTTTACTGAAATGGAGGAAGTAAGTCACAAAAAAAACATTCCACAAAATTCATAAACTTGTCTTTTTAACATTTCACTATGAACAATGTGCACTCGATTAATAAAAAATATTAAAATTAGCTTTCAAAAAAAATTGTGAAGTTTATGAACTGTTTATTTGTGACTCTAGCATTTTCGTATGTAATACAGTCATGTTAGAAAATGAAAGAATTGCATTTGGGAAAAATTCTCTTGCATTTTTTATGATTACAATATGAACAAAAGCTGTATATATAAGATCCCACATGCATTTTCGAACTCTATATATAAACTAAATACAAAAAGAAAGAGAATCAATATACGTCAGGAAACTACTAAAATAATATATACGGAAATATATGGAAATATATTCTTTCCTTTAACAGCAAACAATATAAGGAAAGAGTAACATTAGAGTCACAATACTAGATTTAAAAACTTTAATTAAACTATAGTACCATAGTATTAACCTTTTATTGAACCATGTTGACATAGTAAGAACGAAGAGTGGTGCACCTTGCGTGCATTAAAATTTGTGGACATTCTCACATAAAAAATTGTTTTTTATTCTTTTTTTAAAAACAAATACTTATTTAACAAGTAAAGAAATGCTTATTTTGCTTATACGTAAATCCATGATGGCCCTTAAGTCCACCATAGAATTTGCTAAGAATGAAATGGGAAGTACTATGCGAGCAAACAAGTTACTCCCTTCCTTTCAATGTTTTCTACCAGTTTAATTTTTTTTAAGTAAATTTAATGAATTATAATCATTAATTATTTTCAAGTTATATCACATGATGAGAGATATTCTTTCTGCCTAGAAATATTTTTCTCATTTTGGTTGACGAGACTTGACTAAAGTTATTTTCATTATAATTTAATTTGTTTGATTACAAGAGGTAATATGACTACATTATATTATAAAATGAATAGTAAAAACAAACAAAATGAATAAAAATTGATCATGAAAAATACTAAATGAGACAAATTAAATATCCGTGGGCAAAGGATCAGAGTATAAATCACAAGAATAAAATAATAAAAAATAATTCAAGTAGAGAAAATCTAATACAAATATGGTAAGTTTGTGATGTTCGTAAACTTTCCACTAGAGGTCGGTGAAACACAAATGAAATGATGAACCCCATCTGATCCGCATCCTAGACCGGATAATTATTTTTAGTGAGTGTTTCTCAGTGTTTATAATATGTATTTATAAGTCGGTCAAAATTATTTATAAGTTATTTTCGACTTACCGGCCAGCAGATTACATGATTCTCTATGCTTATAAGCTCAATTATAAGTTTCTTTTAAGTCAAAAAAATAAGTAGGTTTTAGTTACTTATTTTTAAACCAGTTTTTTATTTGTTTCTCTGTTTTGATCAAATTATTTACAAAACTATCCCTCACAATTTATAAATATTTCAAATGACTTATCTGCCATTTAAGTCATTTTACTTTCACACAAAATATTTAGCTTATAAGCAGCTTATGAGTTAAAATAATACCCTTTTATATAGTAGTCAATATATATGAAAATTTTAATTTCACAATTAACCAGTGAGACTTGTTGTGCGTGTTAGGCAGAATCACCTTTATTTCTCAGACTTGACTGGAGTAGAACTCAAATATTGAAAATATATCAAAATAGGACTTCCATATTTTATTCTCGAAATAGGACTTACATTACCAAACATGGTCATATACATTACTAAAAAAGTACGTAGTATAGTATTGTGCACATGTACAGTGTCACATTATCACAGTGCAAAGTCCTATTTCAGAAAAAAAAAACATGAAAGTCTTATTTTGGTACTTTTCTCTATTTTTTAGTCCTATTTAGTGTAATTTCTATATTATTTATCTTGATTTTTTGTATCAATTCATTGTGGGTGCTTTTCTGTGCCGGTGTATAGTAATCCCTTCGTCCCACAAAACATTACCCATTTTGAATTGCATTTGGTCAAACAGTTACACGTTTTGACTACAAATTATGAGAAATGTGTATTGAATTATATAATGTAAATTTAATATAATTAGATTCTTCTTAGGATCTAGTTTTGACATATCAAATTTTTATAACATTTGTTTATTTAGATTATATTTAATTTATGGTCAAAGCGTGTAATTGTTTGACCAAAAATACATTAAAATGGATAATATTTTGTGGGACGGAGGAAGTACTTGTTTATTAACTTATTCCTTATAAGCACTTTTTAACTTATAAACTGCTTATAAGTTAAAAAATTCTTCCGTGTAGATAAAATGACTTAAATGATATATAAATCATTTGAGGATATTCATAATAGGTGAGGGATAATTTTGTAAATAATCTGATCAAAACGAAGAAACAAAAAAAATTGGCTTAAAACTAAGTAGGAAATTAAAGATCAACTTATTTTTTTAGCTTATAAACAACTTATCAGAACAGAGAAACACATTATTTGCTAACTTATAAGTTAAAAATAGTTTATAAACAATTTTGACCCGCTTATAAATACAGAGAAACGCTTACATTGTCACATAGGCTGCACCTGATAATAAGTGAGAGACAATGAAAAAACCCTATCCTAGGGTTACCTCATACCCGATCCAAAAACTTTAGAAAAAGTAAATAAGACTTTAATTTCAGACAAGAAAATTTTACGCGCGTAAACCTTATTTTCTCCCGTCTAATTACTTTCAATTCTTTTATTAATTACCCGAGATAATTTTTATTTTCTCTTTTTTTTCCCGTTTTTTTCAATATTTTATTTTTCCTAGATAATTTTTATTTTAAAATTATTATAATAATAATTATTTTATTATTTTTTCTAATTAAAAAAATTGAAAGGTATTGAAATAACTTTGAAATTAAAAGCTTCGAAAAAAAGGTTAGTAAAAGTTGGAAGAATTGAAATTTTACGTTTTTTATTAAAATAATTTATACTCTATTTATTTCAAACTTTATCTTTTTATTTTTCAATATTACATTATTTTTTGTATTTAGTATTGTGATCTCTTTGGCACAGGTTAATTTCTGAGTTTGACTGTTATGGTCATTTGTTTTAAAGTTTTTCCATAAATTTGAAAAAATAGTTATATTGTCATATAAAATTAATACCAATCGATTAATTTTAAAATAAAGTTGTAAAATATTATATTTTTGTAATATATATCTATATATAAAAAGATATTAATGCTCAAAATATTGCATTAAAGATAATGAAAAGTCAAATAAGAAGATAGTTAATGGATGGAGAAAGTAATATTATGTGATTTACACTCATTATTTCTTTTTTAAACTATTTAAAATCAATATCAAGAATATAATTTTTCATTTCTTAATTTGAATTCACTAATTCATGTTTCAAAAATAATTGTTAAAGGGACAACAATTTTTGTTAATTTTATTTGAAAGAAAAAATTTACCACTACTACAAAAAGCGCAATTGCATCAATTG